TAATCAAAAAACTACCTAAGAACAAAACCCCTGGACTAGATGGATTCACTGCTGAATTTTGTTAAACATTTAGTAAAGATCTAATACCCATCCTCCTTAATGTTTTCCAAAGAGTAAAGAAGAGGGAATACTTCCAAACTCACTCTATGAGGCTAGTATCACTCTAATACCAAAACCAAGCAAAGACACCACAAAAAAAGAAAATTACAGACCAATATCCCTGATGAACATAGATACAAAAATACCCACAAAATATTAGCAAACTGAATTCAAAAATACATCAAAAAGATCATCCATGATGATCAAGTAGGATTTATTCCAGAGATGTAAGGATGTAGAAAATCCATCAATATCATCCACCACATCAACAAAAAGGACAAAAACCACGTGATCTTCTCCATAGATGCTGAAAAGCATTTGACAAAATTCAACATCCATTTATGATAAAAACTCTCAACAAAATGGGTATAGAGGGCAAGTACCTCAACATAATAAAGGCCATATATGACAAACCCACATCCAGCATTATAGTTAACAGTGAGAAACTGAAAGCTTTTCCTTTAAGATTGGAAACAAGACAAGGATGGCCACTCTCCCACTATTATTCAACATAGTACTGGAGGTCCTAGCCCTGGCAATCAGACAAAACAAAGAAATAAAAGGCATCCAGATTGGTAAGGAAGAAGTTAAACTGTCCCTGTTTGCAGATGACATGACATTGTACATAAAAACCCTAAAGACTCCACTCCAAAGCTACCAAAACTAATAACTGAATTCAACAAAGTTGCAGGATACAAAATTAACACACAGAAAAATGTTACATTCCTGTACACTAATGATGAACTAGCAGAAAGAGAAATCAGGAAAACAATTCCATTCACAATTGCATCAAAAAGAATAAAATACCTAGGAATAAACCTAACCAACGCGGTGAAAGACCTATACTCTGAAAACTGCAAGACACTCATGAGAGAAATTAAAGAAGACTCCAATAAATGGAAATACATCCTGTGCTCATGGATAGGAAGAATTAATATTGTCAAAATGGCCATCCTGCCTAAAGCAATCTATAGATTCAATGCAATTCCTATCAAAATACCAACAGCATTCTTCAACAAACTAGAGCATATCATTCTAAAGTTCATATGGAACCACAAAAGACCCTGAATAGCCAAAGCAATCCTGAGAAGGAAGAATAAAGCTAGGGGACTATGCTCCCCAACTTCAAGCTGTACTACAAAGCCACAGTAATCAAGACAATTTGGTAGTGGCACAACAACAGACCCATAGACCAATGGAACAGACTAGAGAGCCCTGATATAAACTCAACCATATATGGTCAATTAATAAGTATGGAGCCATGGACATACAATGGGGAAATGACAGCCTCTTCAATAACTGGTGTTGGCAAAACTGGCCGCTACATGTAAGAGAATGAAACTGGATTATTGTTTAATCCCATACACAAAAGTATACTCAAAATGGATCAAATACAGAATGTAAGTCATGAAACCATAAAACTCTTAGAAGACAACATAGGCAAAAATCTCCTGAATATAAGCATGAGCAACTTCTTCCTGAATGCATTTCCTCAAGCAAGGGAAACAAAAGCAAAAGTGAACTCACGGGAGTACATCAAACTAAAAAGTTTCTGTATGGCAAAGGACACCATTAACAGAACAAAAAGGCATCCTACAGTATGGGAGAATGTATTTGTAAATGATATATCTGACAAGGGGTTAACATCCAAAATATATAAAGAACTCACATGCCTCAACACCCAAAAAGCAAATAACCTGATTAAAAACTGGGCAGAGGATATGAGGAGACAGTTCTCCAAAGAAGAAATTCAGATGGCCAACAGACACATGAAAAGTTGCTCCACATCACTAATCATCAGCAAAATGCAAATTAAAACCACAATGAGATATCACCTCACACCAGTAAGGATGGCCAGCATCGAAAAGACTAAGAACAGCAAATGCTGGCAATGATGCAGAGAAAGGGAACCCTCCTACACTGCTGATGGGAATGTAAGCTAGTTCAACCATTGTGGAAAGCAATATGGAGGCTCCTCAAAACTCAAAACAGAAATAACATTTGACCCTGGAATCCCACTGCTTGGAATTTACCGAAGGCATACAATTTCTCAGACTCAAAAAGACATATGCACCCCTATGTTTATTGCAGCGCTATTTACAATAGCCAAGATATGGAAGCAACCTAAATGTCCATCAGTTGATGAATGGATAAAGATGAAGTGGTACGTATATACAATTGAATACTATTCAGCCAAAAGAAAGAAACAAATCCTACCATTTGTAACAACATGGATGGAGCTGGAAGATATTATGCTCAGTGAAATAAGCAAGGCAGAGAAAGACAAGTGCCAAATGATTTCCCTCATTTGTGGAGTATAACAACGAAGCAGAACTGAAGGAACAAAATAGTAGCGGTCTCACAGACTCCAAGAAGGGACTAGTGGTTACCAAAGGAGAGGGATGTGAGAGGGTGGGTCGGGAAGGAGGGAGAAGGAGACTGAGGGGTATTATGGTTAGTACACATGGTGTGGGGGGTCACGGGGAAAACAGTAGAGCGCAGAGAAGGCAAACAGTGAATCTGTGGCTTCTTACTACACTGATGGACAGTGCCTGCATTGTGGTATGCGTGGGGACTTGATAATATGGGTAAATGTAGTAACTACATTGTTTTTTCATGGGAAACCCTCATTAGAGTGTGTATCAATAATACCTTAGTAAAAAGTTTTTTTAAAAAGGGCTTATTGAAAAATAACTCGTTCAATCCAAAGGAATGAATATCTAATTGTATGCCTTTCAGATAGTTGAATAAAAGGCTAAGGGAGATCACTTTTGAGGTCAGTCCCTCCCAGGAAACCATGCTTAGGCCACTGCTTATAGTTTGGGCTCTACACAAATATACATGGGACCCTTGAATTTTACTGTGAAGGAACATGTTTCCTGGAAGAAAATTTGCTAGAATGTCATTCTGTCTGCAAAGTGAAGGGTATTTATACTGTGGAATTTATACTAGTGTCTCCTTTTCTCCTTTTACACGTGGCTAAATACCTTGTATTGTTCAAGGCCCAGCTTGAATGCCACTGCCTCTGTGAAGTGCTTGCTGTTGGTCTCCTCCATCTCTATAGAACTAACTATCCCCTTCCTTTTCTGTTCTTGTAGTGGCGTGTTTATCTAGGTCCCTGATGTGGTCCCTGGCCAACTCTACAACTCCCTTCTTAGTACCCTTTCTTCTCATTTATGCTCTAGCAATGCTGTTCATCCCCTCCTACACACATATCACCTCATCCCCCAAATGCTGCTTCATGCTTCCCTGGCTATGTGTATGCTGTTCCATTCATATGGAAGGCCTTACCCCACTCCTCTTTCTAGCTAACTTTCTAGGCATCTTCCAAGACTCAGTTCTCATCTGAGTCAAGTACTACAGCTGTATGGTTCACTAGTGTGCTTCAAGCTCCTAGCATGCCATCTGGAATATAGTAGAAACTCAGGGAATACTGGTTGTATGCATAACAAATGAATTTCCTCCAAGAAACACTTTCTCTGATACTCATTCCCTAATTTGAGTTGGGTGTCAGTCTTCTCTGCCCCTGTATCATGCTGTTCTTATCTTCTCATTTACCACTTTATATTGAAAAGTGTCTGTGTGTATGTCTAGTTCGCAACCCTTCCCCCACCACTAAATTCTGATCTTCTCAATGGCAGGAGCTGGGTTTCATTCATCTTTAGGCTCCCATATCTAGTAAAGTTCCAGGTATGCAGTAGGCCCTAAATAATGCTGAATAATAAATAATGAAATTAACCTAGATGATTACTATTCTTAAGATGTTATATTATGGTAAATAATTTTCTTACTTTCTTTTTCACTGACTTGGAGCTCCCAGTACTCCAATGCATAGTTATTATTTGATTTGGAAAATAAATTACCCTGTGGAGTTGAGAGAACATTAGTTGAAGAATCACCTTCTAATTCTGATGTTGCAACATGATGATTGTTGACCTTGGGAAAATCAATGGACTCTTTGAAACTCAATATTATAATCTGCTAAACAGGTATTAAAATTCTCTATCTTAGTTTAGTTCTCCCAGGCATAGACTTTCAGACAAGGAGTTGGATTATGTAGTTCACCTGGGGAGCACAAGTGAGGGAGAAGGGAAAGTGAGACACGGAAGAGACATAAGTTAGTAACATGTGCATTAATGATGAATTTCAGCAGTGGACACAAGGAGGGCCCAGTCCTGCTGGGGAAACTCTGAGAAACCCTGTAGAAGATGTCTCAGAACTGTATCTAGAGATGAGCTGGAACCTAGGGGTATTGCTCCATTACCCTCATTCCCCACTGGCTGAAGATTTTCCCTGGGGTATTAACTTCCTCTCAGATCTGCAGCCAAGCAAGCTCCACTAAGTGGCCAAGAAATCCTTAGATAGAGGAGCTGTGAAATGCAGGGACTTGAGATGGAAAGCTGTTAACATACTGGAAACTGATTGCTACAGAGACAGGGGGCCTCAGGTGGGCTGTGGAATAACAGGGTGAGACATGAACAACATCTGTCCACCAGCTCATTGTGTCCTGGGATTATGAACCAAATTCTTAGAAAGGAAGATGCTTTGTCAATTTAATACATGATTAAAGATCAGCTTTTAAAATGTACTACTTTTGTTTTTAAGAACCATGCACATTTTTATTAATCATTTTTATAGTACTAATGTTATTTGGTTTATAATGTAAAAATACTTTATCATACTAGACATATAAAAACAAATCATAGACTTTAATATTTCAAAAGAAAAATAAGATGAAATAGGTTTCTGTAAATAGGAATGTCAAATCCAGAATTACTTAATACACATTCTAATTATGAAATTGTACTATATAACATATTAGTAAATATACCCAATTGCATTTTCTCATGGCAAATGAGACACAGGGTAACATTTCTCTTTGACTTCTGAAAACCTCAGTATCATCTATCTTTTGGTGGATTCAGTTTCATACGACGTCTATGATACTGTCCATGAGGATACCAACGGTGCTTAGTAGTAAAGAACATTTCGCTAAGTTGTTCTATCATGGGTCCTTGCTCAATGTGTTCATCTTTTTCTACTAATCTGGTTTTCAGCACTTGATCACGTGTTTCTTCATCATTATGCACAGGATCTGGCTGAGGGATAGGTTTGGTGTGTTCATATGGAATGTCCACAGAAGGGTGGTAGCACACTATTGTCCTGCCATCAGATGTCAAAGCCAGCTCTACCTTGCAATTATAGTCCTCTGGAAGACAAGAATATGTAGATTTATGACTAACACAACATAAAGCTCCATTTTGAATTGAAATTAAATGTTTCAAGACAGTCTTGTTTGATATCGCCCATTTTGCTGCGGCTAATGCCATGGTGAATCAAGATGTTTATCAGGTGAGAGGAAAGATCATTTGAAGAGAAACTGCTTTTAAACTCTGCTTGTAGGCATACCCATTTTCATCCCTTGACCGCTGCTCACCACAAGCCTGCCATCTTGCCTCCTAACATGTACTGCTTCCTTACATTTGCACATCTCTTCCCAAACCTCATCTTGCCTCTTCCAGCTCTCCCCTCCCTCCTCCTCTTCGTGGACTGTTCCTGTTGAATTAGCCTAATCAAACCCAGCTTGTTTGCTCCTGAGAGGTCCTTGAGGAATCCACAGAGCACTGGTGATGGTCATTGTTTCTCCAAGAGAATCTGAACCCTCCAATAATGAGTGCCCATTCAGAGTTCTTTTCTCTTTCTGTCCAAGAGCCAGCTCCTCCTTTCCCTCCCTGTCACCCACACAGGCACCCAGTGACCAGTGAGCACCCACCCTGGGAGGGCCAGTTCTTTCCTCCACAGAGAGATAGCTACACGGGATGCTGCTATCACAAACCCTCCTTACCAGAAAGCTTGGGAATCTTGAAAGATCCTCATTGTGATACTTTGCCCTGCTTGTCAGCTCCCTGGCAAGGACACCTCAGATTCAGCTTTATAACGAGGTTTCCGTGTAGTTTGTTCAAAGAATTCTTTGCATCTTGGACATGTTTCTCCGAACAATATCAGTTTCGGTTTTGTGGTATAGAATTAAATATTCCAGGAATAGAGATGCTTAGGGAATGACTATCCTACTTGATAGAACTTTTTAGGTAATTATGACTTGATCTTTTCTGAAAAAGGAAAATCTTAAATATTCATATGCTTTGATCCAACAACTTTATATCTTGGCATGTATTACAAGGAAAAGCTCCAATATAAAATGCTTTACACACAGAGAGATGTTTGTCACAAAATTATTTGCAAATGTAATGATGGCTAACCGTGCAGTGATCAAATCTTATGAAGAATTTGTAACAGTGGGGGGAAAAAGGTGCTACACAACATTCAGAGAAAAAAATGGATTTCAATATCGCATGCACAGTTCAATCATCCCAATGAAAATAAACTAAATAAAAATGATGCTAGAAAAAAGACAAGAATATTATATCAAAAAGTTAATGGTGGTTGTCTTACATGCTAGGATTGTAGGAGATTTTTTTCTCCTTTTGATTTTCTTGTATTTTTATATTAAGCAGACATTTCAGTTCAAAGGATACTTACTTTTCAATGTTACATAAAAATGTTTGTGTCCAAAATTGAGTAAATAGTATCTTTACAATTGAGAAAGCATATGCATGGGAAAAAAGGCTGGAAGGAAGTACAGAAATGATCATTGTTGCTGTGATACACAGGCAGAGATTCTTAATTCTAGCTGTATGTCAGAGCTGTCTAGGGACAAGGATAAAATATAGGATCCCAGGATTCATCCTCAGAGATGCAGTAAGTCAGGTAGAGTCCTGGGATCCCTAATTTTGACCAGCTTCTGGTGATTCTACAATTGTTTATCCATAGAGTAACATTGTGCAGCTGCTGTCATTGGGGAACTTGGAAATCTTTTCCCTATATAAATGGCAGTCTTGTCAAATTACTTTTACAACTAGAAAATACAAAAGCACACATGAATCTAAGTGTTCAGCAGTATGGAAAGGGCCTCCTTCCAATTTTGTAATCTGCTCTTGTCTTTTAGCATTAGGAATTTCTCTTCTTATTAATAATAATTATTTTAGTGGTTACATATCATATACTGTAAACTATTAACCAGTCTTCTGCTCTGGAAGAAGTGTCCCAGGAGGAACAGCTGAAGAAATTTTCATTTTAAGAGCAAAGATACCTAAAAATAGAGTAAGTCTTGGGGGGCAAGTTTGTTTCCCATGATCCCAGCAGGTAAAACCATGACCAGTGAGTGTAAATTGCCATTAGACCAATGATGGTTTTCAAAGCTGCAGTTGGCACACCCTTGGCCAAGATGCTTTAAATAGGGCCTGGGTGTCAGATATTTGAGATTATTCCTGATCATTTCTAGGGTCTTTTCAGCCCTAATATGTCCTGGGAGCATGATATCTATTTTCCCTCTACTTAACCAGAATACATTGCTTCCTGCCCTGGGTAAGCCTATTTGCAAGGCTAATACAATCAAAATTTTACTAAACTGATTGTGGTTTATTCCAAACAGTGCCTAATTCAAAACAACGGCTCATCCCCAGCTGAGTTGGGCCCTATTTGTTCCTGGGTAAAAACAAATAAATAAATAAACAAACCAATATATGAAAACCCAAACATAAGCAGATAAATTAGGGGTACAATTATTTGCAGAACAAAAGGATTCCCCACAGGGCTCCTTTAAATTGTGAACTCTCCTATGGCAGTACAGTGTAATTAAATTAACCAAAATGTGGTTAACACCCAGCCCTCTTTCGTCTCTTTTGTGGGCCTTGTCTAGTTCCCTCATCTCCTTCTAGACTAAATCCTTTGATCTCTACTTGAAGGCTCAGTCCTGCCCTGGGATTTGAGTACCAACCTCCCTTCACGAAGAAATGATGTGGGATTCTATGTGCTCTCCTTGGGAAGGTGTCACCTCACCTTGCTCTGGTTTAGACATCACCTTTTGAGTTTCAGTCCTGATGACTGGACACCTGTGTTAGCCTTTGCAGAGCCTGAGTCCCTGTATTGCTAATCTGTGTAAGATCAGGTCTGTTTTTGTTCTTACCTACTCTTCTCATCTCCATGTACTATACTATGTCAGCCAGTGTCTAAGCTGGGCCATCAATAGGCAGGAATTCAATATGATGAACTAATTACAAGTGTTGGAAGAATTGAAAAGCCAAATGGGGCTAAATGAGACAGCCTTGAGATTAGCAACAGCAGGAAGCAGCTACCACCCTTAGGCTCAGCTGATGAAGAGAAAAGGAGGTGCAGGATCTGGAGCCCAGGAGGAGGAACCATCCAGAACCCAAGAGGGAGGCTCCTTGGAAGGAGGTAGGACCACAGAGGGAGAGATGTCAGGTGAGTTGGAGTCCTGGAGGAGGTAGGGCCACCTCTTCCTGTCCTCTAGTCTCCTGCCTGTTCTTCTTACTGGCTGAATTTAGCCAAAAGCCAGTAAGCAAGGGATGTTTGTGAATATAATTTGTAGGAGTCATTCGTGAGCAATAAGAGCAGAACAGAGGAAAGCAGGGGAACAAACCTGGATGCCAACAGGCAAAATGCCTAGTACAACTCAGAAACTAGAACTGGGAAGCTGGGAGTTTGATTCAGGACTTGGTGACACCAAAGCCCTCCAGAGCAAGGATAAAAAGAGCAAAAAAATAATAAAAATGACAACAGCTAATATTTACCACTTACTTTCTGTAGTCACTTTCTAAGAACTTTACATATACAAATTTAACTAGTGCTCACAACAGCTCTATGAATAATGAGCTCTAGCATCTCACTTTATAGACGAGGAAGTAGAAACTTAGAAAAGTTAAGCAATTTTCTCTAGGAAATGGCTGAGTCCATACCTGAACATAGGCAACATTAAGAGCCCCTGTGCTTACCCATCCAGCCTACTTGAGTCTGTTTGACTTTGCAAAATTCTTGGCAATTTCCCTAATTATCAACTTCCTTGCTTTGGAAAGACCAATGACATTACCCATTTCACTGAGCTTCTGTGAAGATTAAATGATATAATGCATATAAACTATGAATACAATGCCTGAATCATAGACGGCATTAAAAATAATTGGAGTTTCTATGCTTTCATTCATTTCTCCTCCTCAGAAAGGGGAAGTGCCTGAGTGGTTTTCTTGGTCAGACCCAGCTCAGGCTCCCCATTTGTCCTCCACTGTTCTTTACCCCATGATCAAGGCCTTGTTAGGGCTCATATCCACCATCCAGTGTCTCTCTTTGACATTTCATGGCCGTTCTCCCCCTTGATGTAGACAACATTCTTGAGAAAATTGATTTTCTTGTACTAATAATGAGAGTGTTAGGCTCTTGTTATTGCTTGTCTTAGTGAGATGTCTATAATAAGGAGAGATTAATGTTCACATTCTCAATGTCATCTGTGCTAATCAAAGGCCTAAGTCTGCCTTGAGTATCTCAAAACCATCCCTTAGTTTTAGTGGAGTCAGATTTCTTGATGTTCCTGCTCCTCCTTTCTCCCTCCTCAAGCTACAGTGTCCTGAAATATAAAATGGAGAGGCCAGAATCTTCTTTTCCCAGCTCTAAGGTAGTGATAAAGATTAAATGAGATCACAGTAGATAAAATAATAAAAGCTAACATCTTCACAGTGTTTACTATGTGCTGGGCATATACACTGACTTATTACCACATCCTGTTGAGTAGATGCTCTTATTATTCTCATTTTATGGATGATGTACCTGAGGCACAGTCAGATTAGTTATTTTGCCCAAGATTACAGAGCTAATAAATGACAGAGCAGAATTTGAATTCAAGACAGTGTGGGACCAGAGTTAAAAAGATGTAGTAGACCCTCTGGGCCTCACTTCCTTGTGTGAACACTTTCTAATCTAAGATTCTATATCAGCAGACAATTTAGGTTTGCAGTGATATATAAAGGAGGGAGAACAAATGTCCTACAGTAACCAAGGAGTTGCATGGACCTTCCCTCTTCTTACCGGTTGAGGTAAGTCTTATAGTTTGTGGGACTTCCCCATCACTTCTGTGAGTTCCTGACTTCATGTATTTCCTGGTCCCCTCTGCCTCTGTTCTTCTGTCAGTCTTGAAACTGACACATGCCAACCAGAGCTCAAAGCTACACCCTTTGCTGTCTCCCATAGGTGATCCAGTATTTCTTAGCACCTTATACTTGTAATTTTCCTGAATATTTTTGGTTATGATGTGGAGGCAAATCATGGTGGGTGATGCCCTCTATCCATGGTCACCAAGTGCCCATACTTCGTCTTTGTACAAATTAGAAAAAGCTCCTCATCCCGCCAATTCCTGGGACCAATTAGAATAAGGACCCCCTGTGGGGAAACAAATGGGAACATTTGCCCCTTCTTTGCTAAC